CCACCTCCGTCTGCTTATCTCCGCAGGGCCTGTCCACCTCTGTGGGCTGCCGCTGGGACCGAATGTCTCCGCCAGCTGCCGCCGGGCCTAAATGTTCCTGTTGGCCACTGCCGCCGGCCCGTCTACCTCCGCGGGCCGCTGCCACAGGCCTGTGTCTGCTTGTCTCCACCATCTTGAATCTCCTCACGAGAAACAAATTAAGTGGAAAAAGGTAAATTCTTAGAGGTTCCAAGTCTTATGTACAATGAGGAGCAGTGAAATTGCAGGTTGAAAATGAATTAGTCAGAAGTCAATGAAAGATTGGGATTATAGTCACATTGGCATAATTATTTGAACCATCTGGTTGGTAATTATGACATGGTATTTGAATTAAATGAATTATTTTACATGACTCAATTTATGAAACAGAAATATGTGAGATTTGGGGAAAAAGAGGAATTGGAAGAGAATTGAGGGTCTTTGTGACAATGAGATTCAGTGAACTTGGGTTTGAATTGTTGATTTCAAATTCACAGACTTGATACACTGAGACACTAGACCCCAGATTAGTCAAACAGTGCTAGAATGTGTTTCCTCAGACTGCCATCCTAGTTCTAGAGCCACTTTGTGGTGTGTGAGGTGGGTGGTAGGTATTAAGGCAATTTACTTCAAACAGTGCTATGTAGGAAGGAATTGAAGCAACAGTCTTAGTCTCAAGCTTGTAGCTTCCTTTGGACTTTCCCCTAACTGTAATTTGATTACAATATTGAAAGAGAGAGGGAATGATATCTTTGGAGTCACAATTTATGATATCTGCTTCTTGCTAGTTCTGTGATCTTGGAAAAGCTAACTAATTTCACTAGCTTTCTTTTAAAAATTTTATAGATCTGCAGTAAGAGTATCTTCTGAGGGCTGGCTAAACAATTTGTGAGATTCAGAAAACAAGCTAAAAAAAAAACAGGAAAAAGTAGTATTAATAAATATTTTCTTCTAAAAATTCCATTGCTTTGAGAACATAATTGGTTGTTGTAAGTTCAAAAAAAATAAGAATGTGTATATTTTCACGAGTTTTTACCATTCATGTTTATGTTATATAATGCCAATATATGATGACTCAATATATGTATATTAATAAGGCATTTAATATACATAGAGTTTTGTGTTTCTTTCTTTCTTTTTTTTTTTTTTTTTTTTTTGGTTTTTTGAAACTGGCTCTGCCTCCCGAGTGCTGGGATTAAAGG